AAACATGGTGGCACGGCCTCCCTCTTCATAGCCACCACAATACAACAAACTGACATGCAAGTTCATCTCCCTTATCTGTTCCAAACAGCTCTGCTCACTTCCTGGCTTCCCTTAGCTGTTCCAAACTAGTTTTTAGTCTTACCTTATTAAAAAGTTTTATTGAGGAAGGGTACACTGAATTTTATCAAATGCCTTTTCTGCACTGATTGTGATGGTCATGTGGTTCTTTTCCTTTGTTCTATTAATGTGGTATTGAGTGATTTTTCTAATGTTGAACCAACCTTGAATTCTTGATATAAATTCCACTTGATTATGTGTAATTCTTTTAATATGTTGTTGGATTCTGCTTACTGGTGTTTTGTTGAGAATTTTGACTTCTAAATTCAAGGGATATTGGTTTGTCGTTTTCTTGTGTCTTTGGCTTTGGTACTAGGGTAGTGCTGGCTTCATAGAAAGAGTTAGAGAGTATTTCTTCTTCCTCTGTTTTTGGAAAAGTTTGGACAGGATTGGTGTCTATTCTCTGAATGTTCAATAAAAGTGCCCAGTGATGCTGTCTGGTCCCAGAGTTTTCTCTGTTAGGAGGCTCTTTATTCAGTTGCTTCACTTGTGTAGTTCTCTTGAGGTTTCTACTGCCTTTTGAGTTGGTTAGATAGGTCATGTGCTTCTAGAAATGTGTCCATTTCATCAAATTATCATATTCTGTTATGATCCTTTTTACTTCAGTTGAGTGTGCTGTAATGTCTCTGCTTTCATCTCTTATTTTGGTTATTTCCATCTTTTTTGTTTGTTTGTTTGTTTGTGAGCCTAGTAAGCAGTTTATCACTTTCATTGATCTTTTTTTAAAAAAATAACTTGTAGATTTGTTGACTCTCTCTATTTTCCTTTTCTCGATTTCACTTATTTCTGCTCTGATCTTTATTATTGCCTTTCTTCTAGTAGTGTTAGGTTTCGTTTGCCTTTTCTGTTCCTCAGGCTGCAGTTAGACTATTTATTTGAGACTTCTTTTTTAATATAGGCCTTTATTGCTTTAACTTTTCCTCTGAGGATTGCATTGCTGTGTCCTAAAACTTTTGGTAGGATGTATTTCATTTTCATTTATCTCCACATATTTTTCTATTTCACTCTTAATTTCTTCCTTGACCCAATAGTTGTTTAATAGTGTATTGTTTAATATACATGTGATTGTGTATTTTCTAGTTTTGCTTCTGCTGTTAATTTCTAATGTTATTTGTTTCTGGTCAGAGACGATAACTTGGTATAATTTCAATTTTTTAAAATTTGTTGAGACTTGGTGTGGTGGCTTATTCTATGGTCTATTCTGGAAAATGATCCATGGCCACAGGAGAAAAAGATTGATCTTATGATAGGTATGTGTGCATGAGGTCCAACTGGCTTGTGGTAGTATTTGAGTCCTCTGTGTCCTTACATCCTCTTTTTAGATGTACGGTCCAGAATTGAATGCAGTGTATCAAAGTCCCAGACTGTTATTGTGGAGTTGTCTATTCCTTTCATGTCAGTCAGTACTTGTCTGACATACTTTGGAGCACTAATGTTAGGTGTGTATATGTTTACATTTGTTATGTCTTCCTGATGAAGTTACCCCTTTATTATTATGTCATGTCCTTCTTTGTCTCTTACAGTAGATTTGATTTAAAGTCTATTTTATCTGATGTCAGTATGGCCACCCCTGCTCATTTTTGGTTACTAGTTATATGGAATATTCTTTTCCACCCTTTTACTTACAGTCTGTTTGTATCTTGAGTCTATGTGTGTCTGTTGTAGGCAGCATAAGGATGGATCACGTGTGGGTTATTTTATCTGTTTGTTTTGTTTTTTATCCATTCTATCACTCCCTGCCTTTTGAATGGGAAGTTTAGACCATTTACATTTAAGGTATTTACTGAAAACAACATACTTTCTGTGTGTCTTACATCTTCTTTGTCCCATTGTCCTCACATTTCAGTTATTTTTTGTGTTTGGCTGTTTTTTGTGTTAAACCTTTTTCATTTCTTCCCTTCACTGTATTTTTCCTAAGTACTTTCTTAGTGGTCACCGCAAGCATTCCGTTGTATGTCAGCGTGCTGCTGAAGGTCAGGTAGCGTACAGCGTGAGCACAGTGAACACACTGACTCTGTTCCCTTCTGCTCCACACTCTCCCCTTCTTTTGTTGAGTCGCCAGTTACACCTTTTCCTTCTGACCTGGTAGGTTTAATGTGTACTTATTTCTTAGCATGTTTGACTTGACATATCTGGTCATTTTTAATTGCTTTGCTATGAATGCTATATTGTTTAGTGCAGAATTTGTTTTCCTTTAAAAAGCAGTGAGTTTTGTTAATTGACTTGCAGATCAGCTTGATACTTTGGAGCTTTGTTTTTAAGCTCTGTTAGGGATACTCTAGAGTTGCCTTTATCTAGTGGATAGACTGGCTTTTAGGTCTTTGTTAGTTTATGTGTTCATTCGGAGAGACTCGGGCTACAGAGCCAGGTTGGCTGTCATCTCTACGGAAGCCGGTCTCCAGGCCTAGTTCTTCCTGGTTCTTCTGGTCCTGCTGGGGGTTTGAACTGGCAGCCTTTGGCTTTCCAGCTGAGCACAGACTGTCTGTGCCACCCAAGGACTTTTGTCCTTACTTTAAGGCATGACCTCTTTGAAGGTCTCCTCTCGATGCCTTGGGTGTTCAGTGAGGTCTCACCACTCTGGCTGCTTAGAACCAGAGCATGTCTCTGCCTGTCTGAGCTGCACAGGGGGCTGTTCACAGTTCCCTGAAGGTGGGTTCCCCAGTAGTGGCTCTTTGCCTGGCTCGAGGAACTTCACCTGATGCGTGTGCACCTTAGTACTCAGCTGAAGACTCCACACCCTGTGGGTACCTGGAGCGCCTCCTTGAATAGCTCCCTCCTCTCCGTTGCTCTACCCTGGAACTCCAGCCACTTCATCTTCTCTGAACTCTGGTATTTGTGTTGGCAGCTTAGCAAGAACTGCTGTACTCACCTAGGTTCCCCTGCTCTGTGCTGTGGTTTGGAAGGTGCTGCCAGGCAGAAAGCCTGCAAGATCTTGGGGTTCACTCTGTTTGTTTTCCTTTTCTTGGGGATCCCAGTCCAGGAGTGTGTGTTGTCGACAGTCTGAAAACAATGGTTTCACATATTTTGTTCTGGGTTATAGTTGTTTATGGAAGAGGACTTGGGGAAAAAAAAAAACAACATTGCCATTGAGTCAGTTCTGACTCATGGTGACCCCACACGACAGACTAGAACTGCCTCAGAGTTCTCAAGGCTGTGATAGCAGGAGCAGACTGCCACGTCAGTCTCCTGTGGAGCAGCTGGTGGGTTCAAACTGCTGATGTTTCGGTTAACAGTCTAGTGCTTAACCACCGCGCCACCAGGGCTCCCTAGTCAGGGGACTAGTCTGCGGTGAAACAGATTCTCAGGGTCATTCGGAAGTCATCAGCTATGCCAACTTCTGGTTCTCACTTGGAATTTAGAATTATCCTGGGTATTTTTGGTTCTCACAGTGACTAGATGCCACTGCTACTTAGTGGGCTGTGGCCAGGGGTGCTAAACATCCTGGGTTGAGACAACGGTCTAGCTCAGCAAAGCAATGTCCTGCTCCAAATCCTGGCAGCATTTTGGTCGACACTCCCCATTGAGGGTTCTCCATACACATCTTCTCCCCAGAGTAGGCTCGGGCGCCAGCATGGCCTTCTGTCGCACCTTGCCTTCACTTGTGACTTACTCTACTCCGCTCATTTGCTTTTTGTCTGGCACTATTACTTGTCTCTCAGTTTCTGACACGTAACAGATGGTATCAGCAGTATTTGTTGCTAGAAGGCTGAAGGCTGAATCTTTGTGGCTTCCTGGGCAGTGGTGGCTGATAGGTTAGATGACCAGATGCCATCAAGCCACTGAGGACGCTGCCACGGTGAGGCAAGTGCTGCCAGAGAGGCCCTCGGAAGCTCACTTGGTCCCATCAAGGCAGGGTGCATGCAGTGAGCACAGAAGTCCATGAAGGTGCTGGAGGGTATGGGGAGCGCCCCGGCCTCATCCCACTCCACGTCGTGGTTGTGCCTGTGTGTGCTGGCTTGCAACTGCAACTGCAGGGCTCAGAAGGGCTCAAGAGATGGTTGGGTTAGCATAAGAGAAGGGGAAATGTTGGCAGCCATATGCCCTCCCCTGTTCCTAGGCCATCTTCCCAGAATCCTCTGAGGCACCAAAACCAAACCCTCTGCCATCAAGTTGATTCTTACTCGTAGCGACCTCCATTGGTTTTCCAAGGTGGTAAATCTTTACGGAAGTAGATTGCCCCATCGTCCTTCCACAGAGTGGCTGGTGGGTTTAAACCACCAACCTTCTGGTTAGCAGTGAAATGCCTTAGGCACTGCGACACCAGAACTCCTTTCTCTGAGATGCAGTGGGTAGAAACTTGAGACTTGCTTTCTCCTGAGCTTGCCCCTCGGCCATGGTGTGTGGTGGGGTGGGTGTGGGAAGCTGTCGTTTTCCCTGGGGGTGTTCAGTCCCCTTCCTTCGGATGCCTCCGTTTTTACTTAACGTGCCGACCTCAGACGGCCTCACCTACTGCTACTCCATCGACATCTCGGAGCGGGTGGCATTGCGGCTTGATCAGAAGTTCCCCTTCAGCCTGATGAGGAGAGTGTCGGTGTTCAAGTACGTCTCAGGGTCTTCAGCTGAAAGAAGGGCAGCCCAGAGCCGGAAGTAAGTGACAGAACTCCTAAAGCCTGTTCTTAAGAGCATGTGCGGCGCCTGTGGGAGGTGCGGCTGGTTCAGGTGTGGCTGTGGGGGATGACAGAACAATGGATGGCAGCCTTGGACCCAGAGTCTCTGGCAATCTGTACACAGACAACTTTTGAGCCCTTGGAATTCCACCGATTGCGTCTGAAGTAGGGACCCACAAGGGATGGGGAGGGCAAGGCATTTGAGGACCTGTGAGTGTGACCCTGAGTGACTTGTGGGCAGACTGTGGGAGGGAGCGGTCCTATCTGTTGTTAGTAAACGCTCCTCAGGGCCAGCGTGCTCTCTGCAGGTCGGGTTGGGCTTTGCCTGATAGCACTGGGCAGGAGCACAAACAGTCCCTGCTTGCTTAGGACTCCGGACCCGAGAGGCAGGCTGTTCCCGGCCACCAGGCAAGGTGAGGTGAGGTGCCTTGTAATCCAGCCCCGGCTCATTCACTCAGGTCGGGGTGCGGGGCAGCTGCCAGCACTCTTGTCGCCCCAACCCCTTCATTGCGCAGAGAAGGCCCACAGAGGACAGGGGACTTTCCCCAGTGGCCAGAGTCAGTGGAAAAGTCCAGTTTAGAGCTGGGGTCCCCCGCTTCCAAGTCCTACCCACGCCCTCTCCACTGGGCCACGCTGCCTGCTGGCGTCTTCCTGCCGGGTGAGGCCCGCACTGAGACCACAACAGAGTGGTGCTTTCCTACAGCGGCCGCTCCCAGACCAGAGCTCCCTGTGAAGTCGGGAGGCTCGGTCACTGGCCCTTTGCGGCCCTCAGCGGCCCTGCAGTAGATGTTCCCTCCACCCCAGCCGGGGTGCAGAGTCTGGGTCACCCTGAAAGCTTGTTCCAGGAGGTGGGCTCTCTCAGCCTTCAGGAGCTTGGGGGAAGTGCAAAAAACCGAAAGGCAAACTCATCCATTTTGTCTGCAGCAGGTAATTTCCAGCCTCTAAATACACACACACACATAAACACACACATACACACACACATACACACACATTTAAGCAGCTGATTTCTAAGATCAGTTTTTAACTGAAATTATACCAACTCTGTCCAGTCACCTAACACAGACATCCAGTTTGGAATTTTGCACAGAAGTTTAGAGAACAAAAGCCTTTAGAGTCTGTCTTCATTCATAGTCGCAGCCACATGGGTGAGTTTCTGACCTCAGCCCGCATAGCTCGTCCGTCTGGCCCATGGGTCCCGCCAGCTGGGAGTTTGAACTGAGTCTTCATTTCTGACCATCTGCTGCCCCTCCCAGCTTTGCAGGGACTCCACAGACACAGACTTAGCTTTCAGGTGTCTGTCCAAGTCACAGGTAAGAACAACTGACACCAGACAAGGCCTGGGACCAAGCCCTGTGTTGTCCCATCCTCCCCTCACTCCACAGAGGGAGGGGGTACGTTCTCGGCCGGCCGCAGACGCACTGATTGCTGTGTGTGACCTGTCCCCTGTTTCCATCTGGCTTATGAGCTGCTTGCTTGTAGGTGACAGCCCAAGTGGACTCAGCCATAGACCCAGTCCCCCTTACATTGCTCACCTGCTGGGTGACCACGAGTGGGCCCTTCTCTCTCCGGGTGTCTGCTCTGTGTTCGGTTAAGCCGAGCCTTCCTCCCCACTCGGTACTTGGAGTTAATCAGAAAATACCAACATCGTGCCATGCCGTGAAGCACTGCAGCGACCCCTTGTTTGGTGTGAGGGCTGGGGGTGCCGTGTGCCCTGGCACGACCAGCTGAATGACTCGTTTCTCTTCTCTGTTCCAGGCTGAATCCTGTGCCTGGCTCCTACCCTACGCAGAGCTGCCACTCTCACCTGTCCCCGGGCCACCCCGTCACCCAGATGCAGCACACCAATGGCCAGAAGCTCTCCACCTGGCCCACCTGTGCTCCTGGCCACATGCCCACCCTGCCTCCGTACCAGCCTGCCTCTGGCCTGTGTTATGTACAGAACCATTTTGGCCCATCCCCTAACTCCTCCAGTGTCTACCCAGCTTCAGCAGGTTCCTCTCTGGGGGTCCAGCCCCCCGGCCCCCTCAGCTGCCCAGGCTCAGTGTATTCTGGGTCCCTGAGCCCCCCGGTGTCCGCCGGCACCAAGGAGAGCTCCAGGGTCCCGATTCCCTGATTGAGAATTGCTGGGGAAGGGACCTCACCTTGGCCTTTGGATGAAGGTCTCTGAGCTGAGATTCTCTGATTTAAAAAACAAAATTATTTATTGAACCTCTGTGTGCCAGGCTGTGTGCGGAGTACTCTGGTAAATGTCCCCACAGTGTTCATCTCTTTTATCCTGTGACAGCTGTGTGAAGTGGTTTATTGTCTTCAGTTTACAGATGAAGCAGGGGCGACAGGGTGGGATTCCATTCAGTTTCGTAGCTCCGTTGGGTAGGGCTGGCTTCTGGGCCCGGCCCCGCACACCACTCTTCTCCCCTTGGTTGCCGGTGGCTGTCTCCAGCCTGACTTTCCTTCCTGTCATTGTTATAGTGTCCTTGTGTCTGTGTCTGCCCGTCGGGAGTTCCGAGCTGCTGTGTTGGTGGTCCCCAGGCCTGTGTAGTGTACTGTCAGGGGTCTCCCCGGCAGCTGCCCCGATCCCGGTTCTCCTGCCCCAGAAGTGGTGAGTTGGCCAGTGGGAACCGCCCCGTGTGGACAGACCCAATCCACAGTGTTGCTTACCTTTGTATAAAGAAACTGCCTCGTACCTGCCTGTGCTGTGTGGTTTGTTTGTGGCCTGGCTGGGGACATGGAAAGCACCAGGATTTGGGCAGATGCCCAGGGTGATGGTGAAGAGGAGAGGGGGCCTGGGAAACAGCCCACACCTGGTGGGTCACTTATGGACTCTTAACACGAGGAATGACGGGTGGGAGAGCTCAGAAGGCAAAGAGGAAGGTTCGGCAACCCAGCAACAGGCAGCAATAGGAAGTCACTCCTGCCCTTGGGGAGCTCTGGTAGCAGCTGGAGCTGGGACCGAGAGAGGACATTGGCACTGGCAGAGATGATGTCTGAAGCAGAGGTGGGGAGAGCAACCCATGCTTCTCTGCCTCTGGCCCACCCTCACTGTCTCCTGTTGGCACTGTCTAGTCAGGAGCCAATTGGAGGTGAGCCCAGGAATTGTAGTTTGCAGGGATTAGCTCCTCTGTGATAAAGGGCAGGGTGGGGCCAGGGTGAGGAATGTAACAGAAGGGCGCCTGAGCAGCCCCTGAGGGGGGCTCGTCCCTTTTGACCAGCCATCAGCTTTTGACCAGCCATCAGCTCCCGTGGATGAAGCACTTTCCAGGTCGCCAGGTGTTCTCTCGCTGGTGGTCCGTGGCCTTTAATGCCCCAGGAGTTGGGTAGCCCCCTCGGGCCTGGCTTCTTGATAGACTCTACTATTCAGATTGAGAATCTGGCCCCACACCAGCCCAGCGAGGACCGACAGCCTGTGAGACATGAGCAGGCAGGTGCCTGCGCTGTGTGGATTGAGTACAGGATGATGACACTTGAGCTGGACTGCAAAGAAGGAGGTGGGCCCCCAGATTGCAGTAGGGTTTATCGGGTCACAGCAAGTCTGGCAGGCCCCACCCAGCGTTCCTTATTCCAGCCACGTGCGGCATCTTTGCTGTCATGCCACCTGGTGAGCCCAGGTGTGTTTCTTAGGTATTTTCACTCTAGGCTCAGGTCTATCCAGAAGCACATCAAACTCAGAGTCACGGCCCTTCGGTCTTTGGCCTTCCTATGTGGGCCATCTGGCTGGAGCTGCAGAAGCCATGGGCCTAGGGATGGCCTGGGCGCCCCTCCCAGGTCCCAGAGTAGCCCAACTGTGAGCTCCTCAGAGATCATTTAGTCCAACTGTCTCCCCACCTCTGGTTTTACTAGTGGGGTTCCAGGGGGACAGGAGGGGTCTGACAGCGGCCAGCACCTGTCCCTGACTTGGGGCCCTTGTTGTCACTGCTGCTCCTAGAACTGCTTCTCAGGCCTGCTTGTTCTTGTCTGGCTGCCAGCACGCACGACAGGCAGCCTAGAGCAAGGTCAAAGGGATTGGAGGGGTTCCCAACTCCTTCCCTCATTTGGCCGTTGAATCGTACACTAAAAAAAAAAAAAAAAAAAATCCAAATCTACTGCCATTGAGTCGATTCTGACATATAGTGACCCATATTGGGTTTCTGAGGTAGTAAATATGGAAGTAGATTGCCCAGTCTTCCTTCTCCAGAGTGGCTGGTGGTTTTGAACCACCAACCTTCAGATTAGCAGTCAAATGGCTTGGGCAGTACGCCACCAGAGCTCCTTGAATCATTCACTAGTATGTTCTATATCCGCAAGCATTTAATTGAATTGGTGTCAAGCCTCAGGCTGTGGCCAGAGACAAAGGTAAGCTTGCTGAGCTCAAAGCCTTTCTCTGATGCTCACTGGTGTAACTGACCCCTAACACAGGGCCTGACACTTGAAAAATATTTGCTGAATGAAATGACCCTGGCCCTTAGGGAGCTGCATCTAGCAGGGGAGATGAAAGCCGTGATGGAGAGAAGCAATGCTTTCCGGCTTAGAGGAGGTGACTGAGGAAGGAGCAGTGGGACACTGAACACAAATCCTTCCATGGAAGGGGAGAGCTTTGGAGGGAGGAGAAGGAGGAAGGCAGTATGCCCTCTGGCTGCAAGCTCTGGATCTTAAGCTGTAAGGTAGGAGAATGAAGGTACAGCACATTGGGCGTAAGGAATCAGCCATCATCCCCTGCCTGCTGGAAACCGTTCTTGTCTCCAAGGCAGGACCCCTGCAGTCAAACAGGCTTCCGGATTTTATTTCCTTTTCCCGCATTGTCAGCAGGGGGCAGCAGAGGGAGAATTGCACTATTGCTTCTTCTACAAGCCTTCCCCGGGGCAGGCTGTGCTCCCCAGGGCTGGAGCACGGAGGGAAAAGGGCTCCCGCCTGCTCCAAGGGACTGACAGCAGGGCGAGGGAATCAACCATGCAGATAACTGCCGCACAAGAGGAGGGCTGGGACAGACATGCGCACTCCACCCACAGTGCATTGTTCCTGTGAGGAGCAGCCACTGAGTACCGGGCGTTGGTTAGGCTCCGGGGACGCGGAGATGAAAAAGAGCCAGCTTCGATGCACTGACAGTTCATTAAGGAAGCGACAGTATATGCAGTGAGAGAGAGACAGGGATGGAACCACAAGACTGCCGTGGGAGCCCCGCCTAGGAGCATCAGGAGAGAGACTTCCTGGGGCTGGGGCCAGGAAACCAGGGGAAGAGCATGGGCAGAGAAACGGCTGGGAAACCAAGGACGGTGGGAATGTGAGTGTGGGGGCTGGGAGGGGAGGTAGGACACCGTGCTGGGTGTGAGGAGAGCTGGGCTTAGGCACTGGCCTGGGCTTGGAAAGTGAGGGCCTAGGGCAAAATGCCACCTTCCCGGGGGTCACACAGTTTGTGGCAGAGCTAAGAGGCTGGACACAAGTTTTCCCGCTTCAAGTACAGTGCGCCTCCCGGAAGGAGCCTGCACCACTCCCAGGTGAGTGGGATGAGGGAGTGGCCAGAGAAGGGTTGGAGGTAGTGAGGGTGGGCTGTGGGGGAAGCCTGGCCTTGGAGTTGGGTGCTGGACCCCTGGCTCCTGTGGCCAACAAGAGGCCCCCCCGGCCTCCATCCCAGGACGCTTCCTGAGCTCCACCATGTTCCAGGCGTGGGTAGCTCTGAGCTGAAGCTTGGCTTCTGGGGGACCACCATGCCATCTCCAGATCCCAGGCCACCTTGGACCTTTCTCCTCAGCCTGGTTTTGAACTTTGAACCCCACTTTGCCCAAGAGCCCCAAGAAAGATCCCAGAAAGGCTTTTCTGCCCATCTCTGCTCTTGTTTCATGGGCAAGTCATGTCCCAGGGCTGCCTCTTGCATGGCACTCCTTCTGGTAGCCTGGATAAAGGCCCCTAGTGGCCAGTGGGCAGGTAGGTGCCTCTTGGCCTCCTGGGATGGGAGAAGCAGAGCTTCCTGCCCACGGAGTGGCTTTGGGGCGGCTCTGGCATCCCAGTGCCCAGTACAGTCAGAACCACACAGGACACGTGTGCATGTGTACACACGCACAGGCACACATATACTCTACCCAGGCATGTGTAAACACAGACACAAACCTTTCGAATTCACAAAGCTGGGCTCTCACCCACACATTGGTTCAAATCCAAACAGGTAGATACCCACCCACAAAAATGCACATGTACGTGGTTAAGTCACATGCCTCCATGTATTCACACCTTTACACACACACTACTGTTGTTGTTGTTGTTAAATGCCGTCGAGTCGTTTCCGACTCATAGCGACCCCATGCACAGCAGAACGAAACACTGCCCGATCCCGCGCCAGCCCCACAATCCCTGCTATACTTGAGCCCATCATCGCAGCCACCGTATCAATCCATGTCATTGAAGGCCTCCCCGTCTTTCGTCGACCCTCCACCCTACCAAGCATGACATCCTTCTCCAGGGAATGGTCCCTTCTTACAACATGACCAAAATAGGTGAGACCAAGTCTGGCCATTCTTGCTTCCAAGGAGCATTCTGGCTGCACTTCCTCCAGGACAGATCTGTTATTTCTTTTAGCAGTCCATGGTACTTTCAGCATTCTTTGCCAGCACCACAACTCAAAAGCATCAACCCTTCTTCGGTCTTCCTTATTCATTGTCCAGCTCTCACATGCATACGAGGCGATTGGAAATATCATGGCTTGTGTCAGGCGCACCTTAGTCCTCAAGGAGATATCCTTGCTCCTCGGCACTTGAAATAGTTCCTTCGCAGTTGACTTTCCCAATGCTACATATCGTCTAATGTCCTGACTGCTGCTTCCGTTGGCATCGATTGTAGAACCAAGCAACGTGAATTCCTTGACAACCTCAATCTTCTCTCCATTTATTGTGATGCTGCTCCTTGGTCCAGTTGTGAGGATTTTTGTTTTCTTTATGTTGAGATGTAATCCATACTGCAGACTGTATTCTTCAACCTTCATCAGTAGGTGCCTTAAGTCATCCTCACTTTCAGCAAGCAAAGTTGTATCATCTGCATATCTCAGGTTGTTAATGATTCTTCCTCCAATCCTGATACCACGTTTTTCTTCAAATAGTCCAGCTTCTCGGATTATTTGCTCAGCACATAGATTGAATAAGTGTGGAGAAA